TGCATTTCAAGGTGGGGTTTGTTACCAGTCTTGGGATCATTTTCTGGGTTATTTATACCGATGTGAATGCTATCTAGTTGTATTGTGGGACAAGGTGAGCTTAAGAGTCTTCCTACTTTGCAGTCTTCCCCCAGAAAATCTCCAAGAACTGTTTTAGAACCTACCCAGTATTAATGTGTTATTGCCCTTTGGTTTTACATAAGTAGAAGTCACCTATATCCCAAGTGTTACCTACTAAATGCTTTGTCAGAATCACATCTTAATTCCCATTTAAAATATGTTCTAACAAATATAGATAATAAATCTGAGTATCCCTCTCAAGCTTTTTAATTTTTTTATATCAAATTTTTGCAAATATCTTCTCCCATTCAGTAGGTTGCCTTTTCATTCTGTTGATGGTTTCCTTTGCTGTGCAAAAGTTTTTTATTTTGATATAGTCCCAGTAACTTATTTTTGCTTTTGTTTCCCTTGCCTCAGAAGACTTATCTTTAAAAAAAAAAAAAAGTGTTCCAGGGCTTACATCAAAGAGATTACTGCTTAATGTTTTCTTCCAGGAGTTTTATGTAGTTTTATGGTTTCAGGTCTCACATTTAGATCTTTAATCCATTTTGAGTTAATTTTTGTGTGTTGTATAAGACAGTGTCCAGTTCCATTCTTTTGCATGTAGCTGTCTAGTTTTCCCAGCACCATTTGTTGAAGAGTCTGTCTTCCCCATTGTGTATTCTTAACGCTTTTGTCAGAGATTAACTGCCCATAAAAGTGTGGGTTTATTTCTTGGTTTTCTATTCTGTTTAATTGATCTTTTTGTCTGTTTTTGTGCCAGTACCATACTGTTTTGATTATTACAGCTTTATCCTATATCTTGAAATCTGGGATTGTGATCTAGCTTTGTTCTTCGTTCTCAAGATTGCTTTGGCTGTTCAGGTTCTTTTGTGGTTTCAAATCTATTTTAGGAGTATTTGCTCTAGTTCTGTAAAAACTGCTGTTGGTATTTTGGTAGGAATTGTGTTGAATCTATAGGTCTCTTTGTGTAGGATGGGCATTTTAACAATGTTGTTCTTCCAGTCCATGAGCTTGGAATATCTTTCTATTTGTTTGTGTTGTCTTCACTTTCTTTCATCAGTGTTTTATAGCTTTCAGGGTAGAGGTCTTTTACCTCCTTGGTTAAGTTTATTTCTACATTATTCCTTTTGGTGCAATTTTAAGTGGAATTGTTTTAATTTCTCTTTCTGTTACATCATTATCAGTGGATAGAAACACAGCCAATTTCTGTGTATTTGTTTTGTATCTTGCAAGTTTACTGAATCCATTTATCATTTCTAATAGTTCTTAGGTAGAGTATTTAGGGTCTTCTGCATGTGATACCATGCCATCTGCAAATAATGACAGTTTTATTTCTTCCTTACTAGTATGGATGCCTCTTACTTCTTTTTCTTGTCTAATAGCTACAGCTAGGACTTAAAATACTGTGATGAATAAAAGCAGTGAGAGTGGACATCTTTGTCTTGTCCCTGATTTTTAGGAAAGGCTCTCGGTTTTTTACCATTGAGTATGATATTAGCTGTGGGCTTTTCATATATGACCTTTATTATGTTGAAGAATGTTCCCTTGGAACCTACTTTGCTCTTGCATTTTGTCAGATGCTTTCTCTGTGACTGTTGAGATGATCAAATGGTTTTTAATCCCCTTGTCTTGTTAATGTAATGTATTACATTGATTGATTTGTGACTAATGAACCACTCTTGTATCCCTGGAGTAAATCCCACTATTGTGAATTTTTAAATGTATTGTTGAAATCCGTTTTCTTAGATTTTGTTGAGGATTTAGGCATCCATGTTCATCGGAGACATTGGCCTATAGTCTTCCTTTTTTGTAGTGTCTTTACTGGCTTTATATCAGGGTGATACTGGTCTTGTACAATGATTTTAGAAGTTTTCTTTTCCTCTTCTATTTTATGGAATAGTTTGAAAAGAACAGGTACCATGTTCTTGACATTTTAAAGAAAAAAGTCTTGAATGTTACCTCTAAATATGTTTTTTTAATTTGAAATAACTTTTTAAGCTCTCTGTTCTTACTGTTTATTGATATTCATTTGTATTTCCTTAAGATATACTTAAGTGCATGAAATTTTCTTTTTATAATCTTCAATGGTAATGAATTTAAATTATATATAGGCATATAAGCTTTAAAATAACATTGAAAGACAAAGAATTTCTATGAATATCTTAGAATACCATTTTAGAAATTAGTTGGCAGTATTAGCGACATCATTATTATATGAATGTTTGTTAATGTGGTATGAAAGCAAGATCCTCATTAAAATCTTGTAGCTAAACAAGTGACAAAAACCTTACAAACAGCTTGAGGCTTTAGGCCAGTCACGGTTATTCCAAGAGATTTGGACAAGTGTGAAAATATACAGACTGTGCCTTTATTGTGGTCAGAACACAGGGATGCTTGCATCGGTTCCCTACTGGGAATATTTTTATTCATAATAGGGAAAACAGATGTGAAAATAATATAATGTGTAACCATTCTGTTGTGAATCTGTCAAATGTAAAAGTATTGGGTTTATTAAATTTGGAAAGTGGACTTTTGATAATAGCCATCGTGTTGGTGTTTTCCAGGAAAGGACGGTTTTGATTACCTCGCATATTTTCCTTAGGCAAATTCGTGATGCTAATGATCTTTCTTCTAGACACTATCTGAGCATGGACTGGTCTGCTATAGATCTAGTGAGATGTGATGCAGAGCAATCAGCCCATAGCTCATCACCACTATGGAATACGGCAGTTCCCTTACAGAAGCCCTTAGCCAGATTCAGTCACTTCCAGGTTAACTTTATGTACATACTCCCTTTTAGGATTTCCTAGGTCTTTTTCTTTTAAGATTTTGTTTATTTATTTATTTGAGAGAGAGCATGAGCACAAGTTGGGGGGAGGGGTGGAGGGAACAGGAGAAGCAGACTCCCTCACTGAGCAGGAAGCCCAATATGGGGCTCCATCCCAGGACCCCAAGATCATGACCTTAGCTGAAGACAGACGCTCAACCGACTGAGCCATCCAGGCATCCCACAAACCGGGTCCCTAGGTCTTAATTCTTACTTAGCATCATAACCGTTGCTTGTCGAAAAGCAGATTTTAATATCATTTAAGTAGAGAAATTCACATGTAGTAATACTAGTGACATTCCAGAGTCAAAATTAATGGACTTCTATAGCCATATAGCCGCCCCTCAGGATCTCCCCTGATAATGATGATCTGATTATAAGTCTGTTCTGCCTTTTTGAGTTGGAGGGAGTCCTTAGAGGGCACAAAGGAAATTTCCTTGGTCTGATTTGGCTCAGGAGCTCAACTCATGTGCACAGAATGGAACAGAATATTTGTAGTTGAAGTAGAAAAGGATAGCTGAGTGAGTTCAGGGGTCGGGGAGCAGCGGTGGGACTGCCGTGCTGGAGAACAAGCAGCTGAAGGAAGAGAATCCTAGGTGTCTATGACGTGGAGTGTTACTGCATGTCCCCCACTTTCATGTGATCACACACATTAAACTGTTTGATTTAAAGTCATTGCCTTCATCTCTCAGCCTTGTTCCTGTTCTGCCGCTTCTCCATCAGAGTATGCTGTGACATTTCAGGCAGACACAGATGTCTGTACTGTGGGGCTCTTGTCCCAGCACAGCCCGTCTCCTGAGTTTTTTTTAATGCATTTAATAGATCCCAGTCATTTCCAGTTTGCTTAGGTTTAAAACTTTTGGTTAACATATTCTGTGTCATCAGGGAGACCCCTGAATTACCTGCTTGCTTTAAGATCATTATAAATTATATCCTCTAGTAACTAGAAGGGTAATAGCTCAAGAAAAGAGGGAAATCTTGATAATTTTGCATTAAAGGAATTATAAAAGATACTCAGAAGACACTGTGTTTTACCTATAGCTTCTATGCGAGGGTGATAATTGAAGTCTGACATGGAAATGGTTCGTTACTTAGAGCAGACTAGAGATGGCAGAGCTGAAACTACAGCAGCCAGTGGACAAGAGGAAGGACCAGAATAGTCGGGAGAGTAGCTGCAGCAAAGCACACTGTCCTGTGGGAAGAATAACGGAGGACCCAGTCTGACTTTCCAAAGCAGACTGGATTAGAGCGCCAGGCTTCTTTGAGTTGGGAGTGTTGAGAAGGCAGGATACCAAGGGATCAGTACAATTTAAAAGACAAACTACTAGACTGGAAATTTGACAGAAAACTGTTTCCAGGGACATCTAAGAGTTGACCTGGGAATGGAGTGGGAACCCTATTATCAGATAGGAAGGCCCTTTGGCAGGGTTGGCTTAAAGCAGGTGCCGTGATGCCATCAGGTGAGCTGCAGAGACTAGAAGCCAGAGGCCCGTATTTGCAAACAACTCCCCTTTTACCCTTTCACTCATTTCTTGTAAAGGATACCCCTCTTCTGTATTAGGAATCTTCCTTATTCTCCACATCCCTTCTGTGTCTATGAGGCCTCCTCAGAGGCCTCCCCCCCCCCCCCCCCCCCCCCCCCCCCCCCCCCCCCCGTCCCTCCCCCGGCCCCCCCCCCCCTCCCCCCCCCCCCCCCCCCCCCCGCTTTCGGAGTCCATCCCTTATTTCTGCAAAGTTAATGGCACTCATCCTGTTCTGCCTTTTATTCGTGTGCATGTCTTCTCTGGAGTGTATACTATGTGCCAAGCATAATCTAAGTAATAGATGTTAAGTGGTGAGTATTTTAGAGCTGTTAAAAATTAGTAGGAGTGCCTACTAAGCTGGTTGAGTGTCCATCTGATTCTTGGTTTCAGTACAGGTCATGATCTCAGTTCAGGGTCATAGGATTGAGCCCCGTGTTAGGCTCTGTACTCAGTATGGAATCTACTTGGGACCCTCTCTCCCTTTCCCCCTCCCCCCACGCTCTTTCTCTCTTTCTCTTTCTCTAAGGAATCTTTAAAAATTTTGATGTAACTGCAAGTCGTTTTTTTTTCTTTCCAAACTTTTTCAGATTTTACCAAATGTTGCAAGGACTCTGGAATCCTTATGGTAGTAAAATGCCGGAAAGAAAATTCTGCATTGAAAGAATGCCTAACTGCTTAGTAAGTAGTCACCACATTGTTGGTGCTTTTCTGTGTTTTTAATACATGTAGCAGGTAAGACTGTTATTTAACTCATTACATGTAATAGATTTTGTATTTCGCCCCATCAGATCCTTGATACTGTTAGCTCAATCTGAGACTTCAGTTTGTTAAATATTAAGCAACATTTATTTATTTATGAAAGGTCTTATCAAGTTACATGGGTCAACATTATATCTGATTAAAAATATGAGGTCAAGCAAACAAAAATGCAGGATTTTTCATATGACAGCAAATTCCTTTTCATGAACAGGTTGAGCTGTAGAATATATTATAGATGGGCTTATATTTGTCTCTTCTAATGAAAAGGTACTGAATTAGATGACTTGCCAGCCTTGTGATTTGGGGATTAATATAATTTTTAACTCCTGGGAAAGTTGTAATAAATCAAATGAAGGATACAAAGGTAAATTTAGATTTTTGAAGTTAATCAATTTTAAAATAATTCTTAAATATCATGTTCACTGACATTTAGTTGAATATTAAAGTAAAAATTCGCAAAATTCTTGGAATGCAAGTGCTTTCATTTTTTCAAAGACTTTATTTTTTTTGAGAGAGCAGTACCAGGGTACGGGCAGAGAGGGAAAGAATGTCAAGCTGACTCCATGCTGAGCTCAGAGCCTGATGTGGGCTTGATCTCACAACCCTGAGATCATGACCTGAGCCAAAAGCAAGAGTCAGACACTCACCTGACTGAGCCACCCAGTCACCCTAGGTGCTTTCTGTTGTATCTCCCCACACATTTTATTGTCTACATTATTGATGATATTCCAGAATACTTTAGTATTGTTAACTGACAGTTGTGAGGTCTTTTTGGTTAACCGTTATTTCCTTCTATACTTCTCTAGCCCTTGAAACATAGGTCCGCATGGTTTGATGCTTCCTTAGGGAATTCTATAAAAAGTGATTATCTGAATCAAATATTTGTTTTTGTTTTTGTTTTTGAGAACAACTAATGTACATATACATTTAAATTTACAAACTTATTTTAGAATTCTGTAATTAGAAGACTTGAGAAGTTAATCTCTACATTTATGGATGAGGAAACACCCTTACTTATGGACCTGCACTAAGCATTTCACCAGAGAGTTAGAGTTCCTTCTGTGACTAGTTTTTCTTCCATTTCTATTCCCTCATGCTCCCAAGAGATGTGTAATGAATAAACGAACCTGTTAAACTTCTTTGTGACTGAATTTAAATTCTGTTGTATATTAAAGGATTTTACACCTCAGTTTTAGCCATCATAATAACTTGTTCTTAGTTTGCCATATTATCCATCCCTCTCAGATGGGCATTATTAGAGCAGAGGGGCAGGAGTGCCAGCTGGGGAGAGGGCAGCCGGGGCTTACCTTCTGGACCAGCCAGAGCTTAGCTAGCCATGCAGCCTCAGGCAAGTTCCTCATAGAAGATGGGAAAATTATTCCTCATGGAGTGATCGTGGGGGACTATACATAAACTCATTACAACAGTGCCTGGCACATAGGTAGTCAGTAAATGGTGGCTCTTTTTAAAAATTGTACTTGTTTTTGTTATCTGAATGTTAATCATTTAAATATCCTTCCATCTTTTACCCCCTGGAAATAAGGAGGAAGAACTTCTAGTCTGTTCTGGGGAAGGGGCTGGGAAGGGTTGGAGGAGGCTGCTTCTGTTTAGGAGAGAAACAGTAAATGAAACAAAGAGGGTTGTGACATTTGCTGAAAGTAAATGGAGTTAAGGATTTTACTACTTGACCTTAAGTCTCAATAGTCTATTTCTTCATTTTGGGATAAGAAAGTGCTCTGCTTTACTGTGAAATGAAGTTAACCACTGCCCTCTCATCTTTTCATAGTGACATCTTGAAATATGAATACTTGTTCTCTTTTATCTCTGTCTCATTTTCACTCATTCCTTAGTAAACAGCAGTCTCGCTTCTGCCCCCTTCCACTGGAACTGCTGCTTCTCAAGTTTCTAATGGGTTCCTGGTAGCCAAATGCAGTGAATTGCTTTTCATTCCTTCCTTTGAAGGAATACTTGACCTCCAGAAATTCCTTAAAATTCCCTTCTATCTGGCTTCCCTTACACTCTTTCCTGTTCCTCCAACATCTCATTTCTTCTCAGCCTTTTCTTCCTTAACCGATTCCTTAAAATGGGTTCCCGGTTCTCTCCTCATGCTTAGGTCTGTGAAAGCTCAGTTTACACCCATGGATTCAGTTAACTTCCTATAGGTCATGACATTTTTCTGCTCTCTTTGGGTCCCAAACTGAACTCCCCTCCTTGTCCTCCTCCTGCATCATGTGTCTAGAATTTAGACTCCTGTCTCTTAACTCTAAATGGTTATTTCCTATTGATTTTATTACCCACATCTCCCCCAGATCGATTTTGTCCTTTTCATCCCAACTTCTCATTAGCTTAGGCCCTCATCATTCTTTTCTGGATCATTGTGGTAGTTTACTTATTACTGGGCATCCTGCACCAAACCCTGCTTCTCCGTTTTGGCCTGTAGCATGTGGCCTGACTCACCTACAACATAAAATTGATCTTCGAGTTTTCTGTTAATAGTGTCCCATTGCCTTCAGGATAGATTTCAACTTCTGGGTATGGCATACAGTGGCCTTCATGATGTGGCTCCTGCCCTGTCTAGTTTTATTCCAGGCCCTTTCTCTTACGTGCATAATCTGCTATAATGGTAGTTATTTGCAGTTCTTCGTCGTTTTTCCTCATCTTTGTGCCTTTCCAGTGTGCCTCAGTCTGGACTTCTCTTGTCCGTTAAAGTGCAACTCCTGCACTTCTTGCCACCTCTCCTTTCCCCACTTCTCTCCCAGGTTCCCATGGTGCACTGGGCCATACCTCCGGCACAGCACTTTGCATCCTTCCTTGTGGTGCAGCCTTTCCTTCCTGTTCCAGAACACCATGCGCTCCCTGAGGATAGGCACTGTGCTTCTCATCGCTCTATCCTGCCATTCAAAAACAAACCACTGGGTCATCCCCCTTGCCCTCTTAAGCAGGTTGATAGCCTAATGTTTACAGTAAGTTTATGACCATTTCTTAAAATCTACTTTTAAAGATTGTACCTGGTGAAATGTCTGAATATTATTAAACCAAGCTTATATTAAAAACTCGTGAAGTTTCACTTTTTTAAAAGATTTTCATTTCCTTCTTGTAGTTATAATGATCCAGCCTTTTATGAAGAATGCAAAATGGAATACCTGAAGGAAAGGGAAGAATTCAGAAAAACTGGAATTCCTACCAAGAAAAGGCTACAGAAGCTTCCCACAAGCATATAGGCAAATGTTCAGATACTCAGAAGCTCTGATACTCACGGAAATCATTATCACCTAAAATAATGGACTCAAGGAAGTGTTTGCTTTATCCTAAATTACGGAAATACTAATTTTATCTGAAATAAAGGTTTTTTTTTTTTTAAATTTTAAAGTCAAGTTTGTCAAATGTGGTAGGAGTAGTAAATAGTGAAATGGGATATGGTCTGCCTGGGCATCATGGATTTTTTGGTAAATCTTCCACAATTACAGTTCTGTAACAGAGATACTGAGATTTAGGGTTCTATATATATAGACCTTATATTCCTTTTGTCCAGTGTATAGACTAAGGGGTAATCATAGGGATCAGAAGTAACCAAAGTAGGGATGGACAGCCGTCAGAGGTGTTAATAAGGCAGTATAGCAGAATAGTGATGAACCAGAATCCTTCTTGGTTCTGTTACTTACTAGGTATGTCACCATGGAAATAATTTTGCTATTGTGCGGATTATTGCAAGTAAGTAGAGTGTTTAGGACAGTGCCTCAGATGTGGTAAATGCTCTTTAATGGTTGTTAGTAGTAGTAAAGGATTATTTGGAAACAGATAAATAGATGAATTAATTTTATGTTTGATGGAAAGTTTCCTAAAATGAATTATTATGTTCCTTGACCTGTTCATTTGGTTACTGAAAATATTTTAATGATTTCAGGAGCTAATGTAAAAAATTGTCCGAGTACAATAATTTGGTTCCAGTTTTTTATATCAAAACTTGCTTTTCTTTTCTTCCATGAGCTGTTAATTCTCCACTATAGCCACGGCAACCAGTTTCTATCTGTCTACATATATATCTCATTAAAATCACAAATAGAAATTACTACATACTAGGACAAGATTTAATTTTGACCCCTATTCCATAAAATAGACCTGAGATTATTCTTTTTTTAAAGGACTTAGTTTAAAGCAGATAGGATGCTAAGGAACCAGTGTGATGCTCAAGTTCCATACTTTACTCAAGTGAACCACTCAAAGAACTATTTTACTCTTACTTGAAAACCAAAGAAACCACATTTTCCTAGCCCACAGATCAAAAGGAAGATTACTAGAGCAGACAAAAGCAAAGCAAATGTAGAAACCTAGAGACCACATACCATAGGCGTCATCAAGCCTATATTCTTCTGTTGGCCTTTCAGTACCTATTACATTTCTTAGCGTACAGGACCTTTTAATGGTGCAAATGAAGAAAAGGCAGTAAATTTAAAAAGCTAGTGAAATATATAATCTGTGGCTAATTTATAATTTGGATGACAATCAGAGGAGCTAAATTTTATGTGGAAAATTTATTTTCTGTAGATGTCACTTTCTCCACAGGTACTAGAATAGTAGTATGTAAGTATGTTCATTCCTCTACCAGAAACTAAACCCTTTATCACTGCTTTCAGGATATCCTGCCTAGCCACCACACTGTCTACTCTAAAACAGCTGCCTCAGTTGTTGTCTGGCTTGCTCATTCATACCTCTGGCTGAAGCTATTTCTGTGAAGAACTAGTGCACAGATTTTCTTCCCCTAAAGATCCACCTTGTTCATGTAGCCTCTCTGGATCAGATCATTATGGTTTTTCCAAGATTAGGTCTCAGGTCTTTAAGTCTGAATTTTCCCCTACTTACTTGGTTTCTGATGTTTCCCATAGGTGTGTCCCTGCTCTGCTTAGGAATTAGGTTCCATCTGGGCAGAATCTCCATTTCCTTTTAAAGAAGATGCAGATTTTATTTTCACTAATAGGAGATCAAGAGGAAGGAGTGAGTGGCTTTTTGTTGTTACCTGTCTTCTCTTCATTCTGTTATATAAATGGGAACTGGGCTATAAAAAGCTAAAGATTAAAGATATTTCCAAGGGAAGCCCTTTGGAGCAAATTTCAAGCAGTATGAAAGAAATCAACATAGAATTTTCCATCTCGGGGGCACCTGGCTGGCTCAGTTGGTTAAGCATCCGCCTCTTGGATTTCAGCTCAGGTCATGATCTCAGGGTCCTGGGATCCAGCCCCCGGTTGGGCTTGGTGCTCAGTGGGGAGTCTGCTTGAGATTTTCTCTCTCTCCCCTACCCTGCCTCAGGTAAATCTTTAAATTTTTTTTTTCCATCTCAAATAGATTATCAAATGATGGGCCATTCCCATTTCTCTTTGAATCTTACGTACAACGGAGATGATCATAAAGCATACATTTTTAAATTTGTGGCTGGTTAAAAGTTTTTGGTTAATCTTTATCAGAGTCCTACACATCATTTATTTAGCACTTTACACTGTAAAGAACATACAACCACTGATTTTTAGCATACCTGTTGGATAGCCACCCTCTTGTTCATATGGAAGAACATTTTTTTCTGCTTAAAAGAAATGATTTAACAAGACAAATGCCTGTTACATGAATCAAATGAACAACTAACAATTAGTACCTGACCTTGGAATATAAAGGCAAGGATAGTATTTCACATTCGCTTCAATTTCAAACAAAAATAATTTATTTTAATTAAACAATTTCTTGGCATTGTTCAAAACATTAATCAAGCCATTATCTCATACTACTTCTTTACAAAGGAAAGTTTCCAACCTTGGTTTAAAAAAAGACAAACCAGTAAGCTACATTAGAGATTAGATAGAATATATAGTCTACGCAGCCACATGAGAAATAGTTTCTGCTGCTTTGTTATTACACAGGTAGTTGCTTCCTTTAGCTAAAGCCTGGAGTCTTGTATTTGTTTTATGCATATTGGGTTTTGTTCTATTACTTGGCAGGAGATTGTACTCCCTGGAGTCAGCTGTGTTCATTGGTCAGAATAAATTCCAGCATCTGACACCAATTCCATTAATCACAGACAAGCCTGAATAAGTGAGTAAGATAATAGAAAGACAAAAATATCTGATGAACGGTGAACATTGTTTGTGTATGTATGCTATTCAGTTAATATATTAGAGATCTGAGATACTCTTTTGAGTTCAAGATATTTGAAACTATCAAAAAGGATAAAGGCCTCCTACGTGAAACACTTTATCTCAGGCAAAAGATGTATAAGCCAACTAATACATTATATTACTAATATGTTAATTCCACCACCCTGTAAGAATTTAGATAGATTTCTGTGTGAAACCATCCTTGTTATATGCTTGTTTATAAATGATAGGCCACTTAGAATCAAAAAGTCTGGGGACATTTCATGATTGTACTATATCAATACAGCACAGAATTTGGTTTATAGAATTACAGTTCCTAATTTGGTTAAGGAAATATCACTATCTCAATGAGTAAAATGTTACATTTCCAATAAACTAACAATTTATAAATTGCTCTACATAACTAGCAGGTACAGACCCTGATGAAAATGACTTTATCCAGTTACATACTTAGATTTTCATTATGGACCACTGATGGCACAGATTTAGACTAAAACCTTTGTGGTGCTCTTTCTATTTCTCATTGAAAACTATAGAATTATAATAGTTCACACACATTTTCACTTTTCAGTTAGGATTTGAGGACAAAGTTGGCTTCAAGGATCAGGTTATTTCAAGTCTTAACACTGTGATTTAAAGTCTTAAACTTTGAAAACACAATAGCATACGGAGATGGAATAACCTATAAGAGATGCTATTATTTAACCATAACACTTTTTGTCTTTATTCAGTAGAAGGTCAACAGAAACATGACTTACTCTTTTGCCATTTGCTCTTTTTTGCAACTTAAAGCAACTTATAATTTGTCTCATATTAATGGCCTCTTATTTTTACGAATGGATATTTACGTATTTCACATGCTTTATAAAACCATGTCCAAGAAATTTTAATTCCATTCTTTATGTGAGGCTGTTATTTACAATTACTATCAAAGGTAAAATTGTCTCTTTAAAACACCTTAAGTTTATTTATTAGTAAGCAGCATATGTCTGATTCTTAGCCGGAACGTAGAGTTGGACGGTGCTCTTTCATACTGGGAAATCAACTACATAATGTGGAACAGTATGTACAAACATATATACCGAAGAACTCTGCAAAGTTTAATCGAAATCTGGTTTCAGTTTGTTAAATAACTTCTTGAGAGTGCCACTGAGGGAGATACAGTAACCTCATGACCAAATCATTAATCTCTTCAGAATTAATTCTTAAAAAGACAGTTTTGATTATGTTGATCCGAGTAATGCAGTGGTGGCAAAGTGGGTAAAGGCAAAGTTTTATTTTTAGTTTCCCCAAATGCTGTCTCACTTGATTTAGGAGGGCTTGGGAATACCCAAGAATTATCTTCCAGAGAATTTCTGCCATAAGAGCTGTGTTCCTGAAAGTTAGGACCATCATGAAGAATGGATCGCTCATTATCTGTCCATGATTGGAGAATTGCTTTCTCTGATAAAACCTTTATATCTCCTGGTAAAGGGGAAGATGTGGTATGGCAAACACTTTTGCCATTCGGTGAGAGAGGGGAATGTCTTTTGTATGTTGCAGTAAAATTCGCCAAGTGCAGTTTTGTGCTGTCTTTCCCAAGGTCTTCCGTGCATCCTACTGGGGCACAGGCTAAAAAGAAAGCACAGGCTAAATGTCAGTTGTCAAGGCATTTGTGATCATAAAACACATAACACTTCATTAATTTCGTTAAATGTAGAACTGGAAATAAAATTAACATTTCTAAGTTTGCGTGACCACTGGGGCACTGTGACTTGAAGACTGATGAAAAATTATCTGAGTTCTAATTCTGGATCACTATTTACTGGCATTTTGACTTTTAGATAGGTTAAGTCATTTGTGTCCAGGTGTCACTTCTCTTATCTGCAAAATGGACATAGTAATCTTGTCCTGCCTATATCACAGAATAATTAATGAAGATGAAGAATTCCATAGTTAAAGAAGTTAGAAGCCAGAGTTAAAATACAGAAAGGATCCCCTTCTTGGCTCATAATGTGGCTAGAAAATGTTTGCAGACTACGTGTCAGTGGAAACTAAGCTATTCTAAAGTAATGTTTTGTTAAATATAATATCCTTTGCTTATTCAAATCTTTTTTCCATAGGTACTTCAAAAGTAAATTTTTTCAGGGGCGCCTGGGTGGCTCAGTGGGTTAAAGCCTCTGCCTTCGGCTCAGGTCATGGTCCCAGGGTCCTGGGATCGAGCCCCGCGTCCGGCCCTCTGCTCGGCAGGGAGCCTGCTTCCTCCTCTCTCTCTGCCTGCCTCTCTGTCTGTCAAATAAATAAATAAAATCTTTAAAAAAAAAATAAAATAAATTTTTTCAGAAATAATTACATTGTGAATTGATCCAAAGTCTTTTATGGATAAAAGTTTGAATACATAATAATCTGTTTCTTAAATAAACACATATTTCTGCTGTGGTTACAGTAACAGGTGAAGGGAAAAAATGTTTAGTACACACATAATGGCTTAGAAAACAAACTGCTTTAAAGCTGTTATTTAGTGATAGCCAACATAATGGTAGTATGAGCTTCTCTGCCCCTTCCAATTTAACCAACTGTGGCAAAATGCTAGGAATTAGAACAAAGACTTGAATCTGTAATTTTATAGAAAACTGAACCACATTATAAGCTTATTGCCTTTTTTTCTTGGGAAGAGGGATAGGAGAAGTTAAAGGTGCTCAACTTCTGGACAAGGGTGATCTGTAGATTAGAAAAAAGGTGATTTAGTCTGTCTCTACTCCCCGAAGCACTGAGTGCTGCAGTTAGGAGTGGTGGCCTTGAGCCTGCCACTGTTGTTGTATGCTAGAAAATTTATGGTTCAATATACCAAAAGACATCCTTAATCAGCTCAGAAGGGACACACAAATGAGTTATTATTAAATATGGAAAGAGTATTCCTCCTACATTATTCTTTGGAAATTATTACATAAAAAGCCTCACTGAAAACTCCCTACAAGATTATTCTATGTTCCTTTTAAAAGGAGGAACTTCCCCATCAACATACCTTGGCCTCATATGTAACCCTGGCCACTGGAAAACTCAAGGGCAAAATGAACCATAAATTAAGTTGGAGCCTGCCAGAGCACTCTATTAGTTTTCCTGGTTCATAAATAACTCACGAAACTGAAAGGAGTTTTGACTTTAGTTTTCCTTTTTCCCTACTAGTAAACACTGCTGAGGAGATTTATAAAACAAAATTCTCTTGTGCCCTCTTTAGCAGCAATACGAGGTGCATATAATTTTAAATTAGGTGGTAGTGAATATTCTTTATAAAAAAAGTCACATCTCATTCCTTTTAAAATAAACTTAGGGCATTCAAATTTACAACTTTTCAGAAATATACCTATTATGTAATAAAAAGTGCAAATGCACTGATTGAGGTATAAAAATAGCTTTGGCAAAATAGTACTATATTAGCCCAAAACTCAGAAAGTTTAGTCAGCCAAACAGTTACATATGAAAAGCAAATCAGTGAAAATTTTCATTTCATTGAAAGGGATAAGGGGATAACACCTGGTCTCCATTCTAAACAATCTATCCTTTTATGGAAAGAAAAATTAAGTTTACCAAATGAACCCAATAAATGCATCGAAGTAATTTTCTTCAAAACAATTTAAAGAGCTAGGTCTTTGATATATTCTGTAACACTGGAATGAAAAATACCTTTCGGTGTCTTGGTGTCTTTTTTTTCTTTTTTTTTTTAAATATAAGAAGGAGTTGTGGTAAAAGGTCAACTAGAGCAAACTTAACACCTCAGGCTTATACACATAAGCAACACTTGGCTGAGAAAAAAAGCCACAAGGGGAAAAGAATACAGTACGAAGAAAAAACACATCAGCAACACCTTTATGTGTGAAGTTGACCAGTATGAGAATGAAGCCAAAGCAGAGAATAGGTAGGCTGTGAACATACTATATATACTTTGGCTTATCAAAATCATCTGATGAGATTTTGATAAGAAACAATAGCCAGCTGCTCTTCTAATAGGGTTTCCAGCAAACATTAACTTGCCTTTCTTGATTGTAGTTGGGGTTTTCAGTTTTCTTAGTAGTTCAGCTTGTACTTGAGTCACCAAATGTAAATTAGACATTTCTCTCTTCAGTTCCCAGTATGCATTTTGCATATTATCACTGAAATAGATTTTTTTTTTTAAAGTTACTGGTTATATAACTTTCTTTATGGACAGAAAGTACTGACTTTAATATAGAAATGAGCATTATCTGCATTTCTGCTCCAATTAGTTTTAAGATAAACAAAACTTCCTCATTAAGTAACAGAAATATGGGCATTAATAAGTAAAAAGATCTTATTCACAATTCTGGCCATTAACTGAACTATATTAAACAAAGGTATTACAAAAGTAGTATTACAACCAAATTTCTTATTAATTATAGCCTATAATGTGCTGTGCTGTGACACTACTTCAAGGGGTATGGTCTTCATTTACAAATCGGATCAAAAATAAAGTGACGTTTATTCATGTATAGAGTTTTAATTTGTATTTAACCCTTATTTGGTTTTGACATTGTGAATTGAAATGTATCAACTGCTGAATGTATACCCAAATCCACATTAAAATTTAGGTTTCATGCATTTCATTCTTTTATGTTTGACTGGGCTGTCTCATATGGTTGGTCTAAACCAATGTGACATGACAGCACAAGACAAGAAGAGCCAGATGATTTCCTGGTAAGGGAAAAAGAAGCCAGAGAGAGGATTATATGAAACAAATTTAAAACTTCATAAATGCCTCTCATTTTCATAATTAAAAGTATTTTGCCTCAATTATCTGAGAAGTTATAAATTATTTTACACCTAATTTGTAAAGTCTCATTCTTCCATTAAACATGGATATTCATGATTTTTTTTGGTTTTTAATTGCCAACTAAATAAACTGAGATCTTCAATATACCTACTTTGCTATACAAGGATATGTAAAATGTTAAGTATAAAAACAATTGCTCTCATAGCATTCAAATGACCATTACTGCCTCTTAAAGATACTGGTGTAAATTTAAAGATACTGGTGTAAATTTAATAAGTAGAACAAGTTAGAAAATACATCAATTTTTATCTAGCTATAAACAAAAACCTTTAAATAAACCAAGGTATAATACTCTTGATACCTAAATCTAATATCCTGTTTGAATTACAGTGCAACAGAGCTACCCAAAAATCATTGTTCTGGGGCACCTGGGTGGCTCAGTGTGTTAAAACCTCTGCCTTAGACTCAGGTCATGATCCCAGGGTCCTGGGATCGAGCCCCACATCGGGCTCTCTGTTCATTGGCGAGCCTGCTCCCCCCCCCCCACCCAGCCTGCCTCTCTGCCTACTTGTGATCTCTGTCAAATAAAATCTTTAAAAAAAAAAAAAATTGTTTTGAATGAAAGGTTATATACGTTTTTTGTCAAGGTATTTCTATTCCACTAAGACTACAATTCTTTCACTAGAAGCAGAATAAACTTTATACTGCTTTTGGGAAAAATCTACATGTTTTAGTCTATTGTAAATGTCATTTGTCAATGTCATTTGTCAAACAGGAGTCTATTAAAAATCACAGGGCTTTTTGCAGGTTTTTGATAAGTGTTAAATAATTACTTAACAAAAATTAGTTAACCACCCCCATTTCACCAGTAAACATCTGAGATGTATGTTACAATGAATGTTTCACATAGGAACCCGTCTTAAGTGTGAAGAGTGGTTTGTTCCTTGTTGCAATTGTGGGTATTCAGTATGCTTTCCAAAGAGTTACTCACATTGCGTAACACATATACAGCACTTAAACTTGCTAATTCATGCAGACTGTGACGATATGAATAATACAGTTTAAAAATACTGTTTAGTTATTGGCATGAGATGACAAATCAGTACCTAACTTTGAGAAAACAAAAGCAAATATCCAAGACCATGTTTGGGTCCCAGAATATCAAACACATTTAATCATTCAAAATAGCTAAGCATGTAAAGTAAAAGAAACAATTAGAAGTGTTAAAGCAGTGTCTAATGCACATTTTCCAATTCAATTTAATGAAGACTGTTAAACCAAAAACTAGGTCACTAAGTTCAACATACATCTAAGTCTTTTTCTTTTGCCCTTAATGTCACCTGAATTAAAAACTACAGCTAAAAACCAAACCAACAAATTACTAAGTATAAGCTCTCCCCCTTGTGGATAATAAAGTAATAACAGTCTCTTTACACTAGAAAGTGCTACAGTCTTCAGAGTACTTTCACAAAATTAATTTATTTGAACAAAGTATTTAAATCATTACCTTAAGTGAGATTGGAAAAGGCAAATTATCCACAAATCTTTAGCGGGGTTACAACTAACCTTCACTTATCTAGATATTTTTGAGATTGAATAGGCTGGCTCTGTACCCGTCCCCAACCAAGCAGGAGTGTGAATTTAGCTAAGTTTTGCTTTAAGTGACACAGGTGCAAATGTGTATAAGAAATTATAAAACTACTTGAGCACTGAGATGCAACACTAAAAAGCACCCCAAATGAGAACCCTACAAAAATGCCTAACGTAATAAATGCTCAACCATGTTCTTGCACCAGTTTGACAAGCTGGGTATAACCACAGTTTCCCTGTGAGGAAACAGGTTCAGGAGATTACTCCATATTCTAACATGTTGCTGATCAAAGCCATCTTTTAATTATCCAGTCTAAGGACTGCCTGCTGCCCTGCTGGGGTTACATTTTTCATATGATTATTACCATCATCTTCATCACACATTTACCAAGCACCTCCAATATGCTGGCTGCCAACAAAACCTTCTTAACCACAAATTTCAATCCTCTAAATTTTAAATGTAACATACCTCTTCCTTGAGAGGTGAATGAGCAGGTTTCGTGTCCTGCTTATGAAGTCAAATTGTGTAAAAGCCCAGTTTTCTTAATCGAAACTATTCAACTCTTCAATACTGAAATTAGTATTCCTTGTCTAAGAAAAATCCAATTTTTTACTTCACCTATTTGTTTTTCTTTAGCTTCTGCAAATTTACTACACAATTACATTCCCCAGAAATTCTAAAATCAAAGTACGAGATATCTTACCCAAGAGCTAAAGATTTAGAAGTGTGTATTTTGACAACTGTGATTCCCCAAAACCAAGTATCTTTTAGACCTATTTTAATGTGAGGCACAGCAACGAATCATTTTACACTGCAACCCAAAGAGTAACTTATGAGAAACCATACTTAACCCCCCTCATTATGTGTAATACACACTGGTATGTTCTTCTATTTTATTCAATATTTAAAATACTTCTCTCAACATACCAAGTTTCATGACCACTAAGGGAGCACAGCACCATTTGAAAAACACTAACCTAATCCATATTTCCTAAAGATTTACATTTTTAAGAAATTTACCATATAAGTTTACTCCATACCTACATATGTTTAAGCACTGAGCACAACAACCTATAAAGCTAAAACCAAACAGAACACGAGCAGGACATAGGCCAAATTCCTGGCTGGGCTGCTGTTAAGTGATATTCTACACAGTAAGTACTAGATAAAAGGCCTCCAGTAACTAAAGGTTCACTCTATATGAGGAACAATACAGTACCTCATTCACCTGGCAATATGATGGAGGACATATGAAAAAAAAAAGTTTTCCCAAAAAGGGTGTTTTACAAATAAATAAAAAATAATCCTTAAAAATACATAAACTCGTACTTAAAGGTTTTGTGGAAACATTCCTATTGACCTTTTTGCTAATGTAGTAAACTTTCAACTGTTCCACTTAAAAGTGATGAGGTAACTTAAAAATATTAAAACAACACAGGACTATAAATAAACTGGGCATAGGTACAAGCGGTAAGGTGAAGGAAAAACAAGATAAAATGCAGCTAGGAATGAGACTAACATTAAAATGCACGATAACAAAGTTTACCAAGGGGTAAGCTACAAATCTGGTTATTAGTTTTCTAGTTATTAACCAGAAAAGGGAAACCTAATCAGTTTTGCAATCCACATTGTTTACATAAAATAAATGCAAACCAACTTGTATAAAACCATAAATACACTCTGAGCACTAGCAAACCATCAGGACACGCTTTAATTATACAATTCTTTTAGCAGACACGTAGCTCTTAGAGTGAAGAACTTAGGGCAAATCTTTCTAAAAATTGTTTCTCTCAGCTGATACTCTGAGTTACTACCAAGCTTTCGAGAATTCATAACTGTACTTTTGAAGCCACAATTACATAGCCTGGCAGCCTCAAAAACTAGACTTATCTCCTTGTATATTTATCCCCTTAAATCCTGGTGTGGAGATTCCTTACCGTCTTGTTAATTATATGATGTCTTAAAAAACATTTGCAGGGAGGTTGTGGGGGGCAGCTTTTTGAGTTATTCTCAGGTGATGTGATCCAAATTATATAAAATTTCCCATGAATGGAAGAAGTCTCATTCTTTATCACGTTCCTCTAATATAAAATATACATAGCTCTTTCATTTGACATACTCTGATTCTAACGTATTTCTTTGTTCCCTGCTTCTTACCAAAAATGGTTTGAAGAGGCTTATAAGCTGATAAATACAACAAAATGAGGGGAGGCTCAGTTGACAGAAGAAAAGTTAATTTTGATAAGAAAACTTGAAATATGGGGCACCTGGGTGGCTCAATTGGTAAGCATCCAACTCTTGGTTTCAGCTCAGGTCATGATCTCATGGTGGTGAGACGGAACCCCTGTGCTGGAATCCAGGCTCTCTGGGGAGTCTACTTCCCCTCTCCCTCGGCCTCTCCCTGCTCACACAAAACTCCTTTCTTTCTAAAATAATGTATCTTACAACTTTCAGAAATAATCTACATGGACATTGACCTAGACACACTGTTTAAAAAGGAATAACTTCCTTGCTATAAAGTTAGATGAAACTTAAGGGCATCAACGGAAGAACTGTTCAAATGGCAAAGTTTAGTAGTTGCAAGAAAGATGTTATGACTCACAAGGCCTAAATATGATGGTCCTTTATAGAAAAAGTTTGCCTACCCCCTGGATCTAAAAGATTGGCTGCAATCCTCAAATTGTTTGCCCTAGTTTATCATTTCTCTCAATTGGGTTTTCAATAGAGATAGGTAGGAGCCATTTCACATCATTTACTTTAGATTTGTAAACCTTGGAAGCCAAATGATCCAACAATGAAGTCAACTCACTATTTTTCATTGGATTAAAGTATCCATATATAGAAGGAATATAAAATAAGATAATGTGAAACACAGTACATGTTACTTAAATAAAAATGATATATAAGGGAAAAAAGTTAAAATTAAACATGAGTTCTTAACAGCTACTTTTGTTTTTATCCCAAGAGGATAGTTCTCTTGTAATTCATGTTATACCAAAGACTAAGGTGGTCCAAGTTTGCCTTAAGGACAGGGTGGTATTACTGTATATGGAAATGTATAATTCTTCATGCAAAATCAGTATTTATTACAGAATACTTTCTATACAGCTAGCTCCTTAAAGCCCTATCTAAAATATCGCATGTTCAAAATTTTTGTTTAAGGCTTCACAATATGTACCTTTCTACTACTTTGGTTCAAACCAACTGTTGAAGAGCAGTTAAATGTTTTTTATAAATCCACTGTGATCAGAAATTACATGCAGTACCCAAATGGTATCCATTCACTTTTAAGGTTAAATCCTAACAGAAATCTAGGTAAGCTGTAAAAAGTGGCCTACAGAGGAGAGTATGTTATTTCTGAATGTTGAAAAATATTCATACCTTGAAATGCTCAGTCTTTGGAGATCATTGCTCTTCAGATTGTCTTCCTGAGATGGATCCTGTCATTTGTTTACAAAAAAAAAAAAAAAAAAAAAAGTTGTTGTAATTGTTAAAAAGTATAGATCTGTTTCCCAACTAGTACCTTGTGATGTGGAAGTTTCACATATACAGGGGCCATCATTATAAAATATTGGGATGGGGCACCTGGGTGGCTCAGTGGGTTAAGCCTCTGCCTTCAGCTCAGGTCATGATCTCAGGGTCCTGGGATCAAGCCCCGCATTGGGCTCTCTGCTCAGCAGGGAGCCTGCTTCCTGCCCACCCGCCGCCCCGTCCCTGCCTGTCTCTCTGCCTACTTGTGATCTCTCTCTGTCAAATAAATAAATAAAATCTTTAAAAAATAATAATAAATAAAAATAAAATATTGGGAAACACTGTTCAAGTTAAACAGGTTCCTACACTCTAAGACTTCTCAGAACTTTGGTATATATAAGAGCACACTGGGCTATTATTAGGTACCTCAGACTTTTTTTTTTTAAGATTTTTACTTATTTGTCAGAGAGAGAGCATAAGCAGGGGGAGCAGCAGGCAGAGGAGAAACAGACTCCCTGCTGAGCAAGGAGCCCAACTTGGATCATGACCTGAGCCAAAGGCAGAGGCTTAGCCAACTCAGCAACTCAGGTGTCCCGGTACCTTAGACTTCACACCAACTCCATTTTATAGATCCAGTGCTTTCTAAACTTCTTTGGCCCTAGTGTCTTTTTTTTCCCCAAAGGATCAACTTTTCTGAATATAAATGACTGGAATATTGGGGGAAAGTTTAAAAGGGCCATAGTGGAACAGACACTGGAAACTTGATCTCATTAATATAAAACAGTAATCTAAGTAAAAAAAAATAAAAGAAACAAAAAAACTCTCATTATTATGTCCACGTAGGGATGCTATTTCACACTTTAAAAGATGTTATAAAATGTTTCACAGAAAATACCACCTCAAAAGTATTTGTAAATATGCCTACTGTAGATATAAGATTAATAAGGTGAACATAAATTTTTCTCCTTGACTCTCTTTCTCATTCCCATATCCAAGAGGACTCTGATCGGCAATACCTTTGAACGAAATTTAAAAGTATACACCTCACAACATCAAGATTTTCCATCACCTGGAACCTCTGGTAAGTTTATATTAAGCATTCCATTCTCCCTTTTCCTGGTTCATTTCTTATCTTAGTTATGAGCATTTTTAAATTTTAAATCCCCCTTCACCCTGCCAAAGAAATTCCTATGAAAGTGAGAACTAAATCTTAAATTTTTTAAAAAACAATTCCTCTTGTATTAAATTCTTGTTTCTTAGTCTTTCCAGATGCCATTTCAGCAGTAAATGAAAAATTTCTAAAGTTTTATCTACCTTCAAATGTCTGTTTTTGTTTTTTTTTTTTTAAAGATTTTATTTATTTATTTGACAGAGAGAGATCACAAGTAGACAGAGAGGCAGGCAGAGAGAGAGAGGGAAGCAGGCTCCCTGCTGAGCAGAGAGCCCGATGCGGGACTCGATCCCAGGACCCCGAGATCATGACCTGAGCCGAAGGCAGCGGCTTAACCCACTGAGCCACCCAGGCGCCCTCAAATGTCTGTTTTTATGGATTTATGATAGATGAATTATACTAAAAGCAAATTTATCCCCTAGCACCATCTAGTGGAAAAGAGTAACTAATAAGAACTGAACTATAACACCCACACCCACTTAACAGTACTGCGTTTCTGGATTACCATAAGGTTTTTTTGAAATACACTGATTTACTGAATACACTATATACTAAGCATTGTGCTAAGTGTTACATGTTATCTAACCTTTATGGAAAAAAACAGATTTTTAAGTCTACTTTACAGAAAACAGGTTAAGAAGATATTCCTAATGTTATAGTTAATAAGCAATGCCATAATTATAAGCCAAAGTTTTTACAATTCCATGGTACTTTTTTCTACTCTGTAACAAAATATTCATTATGTAAAAAGCTATCATCATCCTTTCAAGGAAAATCTATTTACTGACAATTACAATTCAGAGCTTCAAGGTATAGATCCTTTGTTGGAATCACATCTTAAAAAAAAAGAAAAACAGCATCTAGGGGTACCTGGGTGGCTCAGTCAGTTAAGCCTTTGCCTTCGGCTCAGGTCATGATCAGGGTCCTGGGACTGAGCCCCACACTGGCCTCCCTGTTCAGCTGGTAGTCTGCTTCTCCCTCTGCCCTCCCCATCTCATACTCTCTCTCAAATAAATAAAATCTTTAGAGGTCTTTTTTTTTTTTTTTTTTTTGAAGAAAAATATGGCAGAGTAGGAGGATCCTATGCCCACCTCGTTCCACAGATCCAACCAGATAACATCCACATCAGTGTAAATAACCCAGAGAACTGGCAGAACAGACTATTCACAGCAAAAAGTAAAGAGGAGGCCATATTGAAGAGGCAGGAATTGCAGGCAGGAGCTAAACACATCTAACCACAGGACTATCTGCAGGAGGGAGGGACACCACTGGCACCAGGAAGGGAGAAAAGCAGACCCTCACACCAAGAACCCCAGGTATGGGGAACACACACAGGGAAAATTAGTCCCCATAATATTTGATTTGAAAACACAGAGGGGCCTAGTTACCCCACTTCCCACGATCAGTGGGGCTTAACACCTGGGACTTCACAAATTGGTGGGCTCAGCTCTGGGAGAAAAGGGAGGATGAGAGGAAACAGAATCCTGGCCCTTAAAAAGACAGCATAATGCCCCAAGAAAACAAAGCAAAGAAACAGCACTTGGAAAAATGCCTCCAGTATATGGGAGAGAGCACGTACTAGAGGAGCAGGGATCCTTAGGAGACTTCCCCAAGAACAAAAGGACTGGTGGGCACCATTTCCCTCCCTGGGCCACCACCCTATTTACATGGACACGTGTGGGAACCAGTGCAGCACACTTTTCCACATAGGTAGCTAATAGCATGCCTTACATACTTCTGCAGATCTGCCCTCCAACCTAACCAGCCTCCACAGTTTGGGGCAGCAGCAGGTACCCTCCCGCAGCAGACCAGCATAGACCTTGCTGGCACTGCATGCACTTCCCCCGGCCCCAAATCTTCTGTAGACTCACCTCCACCAGCAATAAAGCAGTTTTCAAAAGCAGCTCCAGCTCCCCTCTCACAGTAGACCTCATCAAACCTTGCTAACACCATATGCCCTGCCCCTACATTTTCCTGTGCACCTGCCCCTTCCAATATGCCTTTGGTCAGAGCCCATCCAAAGAGGTTTGTAGGCAGTGTATAGGCAGCCCTGACAGGGCCAGCACCACTCCAAAGTGACTTCTGCCCTGGAGAGAGGGGACAGCAACCACACACATACCAGTCCAGCTGTGGCCACTGCAGTGGGTAGGAGAATAGACATGTAGTCTGACTACAGGGCCAGCTCACCAACAAAAGCTTCTGAAGGCACAACACAGGGAAAGTACCCTGAAGTTCAGTACAACTGTGTCTGGGAAAAGCCTGGTCTGCCTTGAGCCAAACCCTAGGCAAACCCAAACTAGCTCACTAACAACACAGGGACCAGAGCCCACTCACAACAAAGAGAGCCACTGCAGACAAATGGACTGAAGGCAAAAGCAGCTCAACCTGAATGGTAGGGTAACACAACACACACAGAAGACACCCCTGAAACATGAGGTTCCAGTGAACAAGGGACATTGTACTGCAGAGTACAGGACCTCTTTGATTTCACTATTTCAAGAGCTGGAGACACAGCGGACTTTCCTAATACAGAGAGACAAAATTAAGAGAGGATTATGTCCCAAAAGGAAGAAGGGTAAGAACACAGCAAAGAGAGCTAAACAAAACAGAGTTAAGTAATATGCCTAATGTAGAATTTTTTAAAAATAATGGTCATAAAGATACTCACTGAAGTTGAGAAGAGTGGAGGACCTAAGTGAAACCCTCAAAAAAGTGATAGAGATGATAAAAAATAGTAACTCAATAACTGAAATTAGAAATGCACTAGATAAAAAAGTGGACTAGAGAAATAAAAAAGTAGACTAGAGAAAGCAGAGAAAACAATGAGTGATCTGGAGGACAGAGTAATGGAAAACAAATCAAACTGAACAGAAGAATGAAAAAAAAAATGAAAAGTTTTAGGAAACTCAGTGATACCATCAAATGTCCACAGCAAATCATAAAATGGCAAATAGTAGTGATAAAGATAAATTTTAAAAGCAGTAAGAGAAAATATAAGAAATACACAGGACTGTAAGAGAACATTATGAAATATGCCAACAAACTAGGAAACCTAGAAGAAATGGAGAAATTCCTACGAACATATAATCTCCCAAAACTGAATGAGGAAGAAATAGAAAATTTGAACAGACTAATCACCAGCAATGAAATTGAATAATTAATCAAAAAATTCCCATGGAACAGAAGTCCAGGACCAGATGGCTTCACAGGGAAACTATACCAAACATTTAAAGAAGAATTAATACCTATTCCTCTCAAACTATTCCAAAAATTAGAAGAGAAAGGAAAGCTTCCAAATTTATTCTACAAGGCCAGCATTAGCCTGATACCAAAACCAGATAAAGATACTACACAAAAAGGGAACTACAGGCTAATATTGCTGAAGAACATGGCTGCAAAAATTCTCAATAAAATACTAGCAAACCAAATCCAACAATACATTAAAAAAATCATTCACCATGATCAAGTAGAATTTATTGCTGGGATGCAAGAGTGGTTCCATATTCCCAAATCAATCAATCATGATACATCACATGAACAAGAGAAAAGATGCAAAAGATTCAAAAAAAGTATTTGAAAAATTCAATATCCATTCATGATAAAACCCTCAATAAAGTAGGTATAGAAAGTACATGCCACAACATTATACAAGCCACACAGGAAAAACTCACAGCTAACATCATACTCAAGAGGAAAAAATGGACAGCTTAAGGTCCCAAACAAGACAAGGATGTCCACTCTCACCACTTTTATTCAACACAATACTGGAAATGGCAGCCACAGCAATCAGACACGGAAAAAAAAAAGGCATTCAAATTGGTAAGGAAGAAGCAAAACTATCATACGTGCAGACGATAGGATACTATATGTAGAAAACCTGAAAAGACTCCACCCAAAATCTACTAAAACTGAGAAATGAATTCAGTAAGGTTGCAGGACTCAAACTCAGTTTGCATTTCTATACACTAATAATGAAGTAGCAGGAAGAAATTAGGGAAACAATCCCATTTACACCTACATCAAAAATAATAAAATACCTAGGAATAAACTTAACCAAGTAACTGAAATACCTGTACTCTGAAAACTATAAAACACTGATGGAAAAAACTGAAGATGACATAGACAAATGGAAAGATAGTCCATGCTCATGGATTGGCAGAACAAACTGTTAAAATGTTCATGCTACCCAAAGCCATCTACAGATTTAATGCAATCCTATCAAAATACCAAGAGTATTTTTCACAGAACTAAACAAATTATACTAAAATTTGTGTGGAACCACAAAAGACCCTCAATACCCAAAGCAGTCTTGAGAAAGAACAACAAAGCTGGAGATACCACAATCCCAGATTTCAAGACATACCACAAAGCTGCAGTAACCAAAACAGCATGGTACTGGCCCAAAACAGACACAGAATAGAGCACAGTGAAATAAACCCGTGCCTATATGGTCAATTAATCTATGACGAAGGAGGCAAGAATATGCAATGGGGAAAAGACAATCTCTTCAACAAATGGTACTGGGAAAACTGGACAGGTATATGCAAAAGAATGAAACTGCACCACTTTCTTACACCATACACAAAAAGTAAACTCAAAATGGATTAAAGACCTAAATGTAAGACTTGCAACCGTAAGACTAGAAGACAACATAGGCAGTAATCTCTTTGTCATTGGCCTTAGCAACATTTTTCTAGATATGTCTCCTCAGGAAAGGGAAACAAAAGCAAACTGCTGGGACTACATCAACATAAAAATCTTCTGCACAGCAAAGGAAACAGCAAAACTCAAAGACACCTACTGAATGGGAGAAGATAGTGGCAAATGGCATTTATCTGGTAAAGGGTTAGAATTCTAAACATATGAAGAACTTAACACAAGTCAACACCTAAAAAATAATCTCATTAAAAATGGGCAGAAGAGATAGGAGGAATTTGAGAGGCAAAGCAGGGTGTTGTGGGGAGTAGGGAAGGAAATAATGAAACAAGATGGGATCAGGAGCGAGACAAACCCTAAGAGACTCTCAATCTCACAAAACAAACTGAGGGTTGCTGGGGGTTGAGGGGGTAGGGATAGGGTGGTGGGTTATGGACATTGGGCAGGGTATGTGCTATGGTGAGTGCTGTGAAACGTGTAAGCCTGATGATTCACAGACCTGTAGCCCTGGGGCAAATAGTATATGTTAATAAAAATTATTTTTTAAAAAATGGGCAAAAGACCCGAATAGACATCTGTCCAAAGAAGACATACACATGGCCAACGGACACATTAAAAGATGCTCAGCATCACTCATCATCAGGGAAATGCAAAGCACAACTACAGTGAGATATCATCTGACACCTGTCAGAATGGCTAACATCAAAAAACACAAGAGACTAGTGTTGACAAGGATGAGGAAGAAAAGGAACCCTCATGCATATCGGTGAGAATGCAAACTGGTATAATCCACTTTGAAAATAGTTTGCAAGTTCCTCAAAAAGTTAAAAATAGAATTACCATGAGTCTGTATACATACATACACACACAGGACTAATACTCAGCAATAAAAAAGAATGGAATCTTGCCATTTGCAACAAGGTGGATGAATCTAGAGAGTATAATACAAATAAGCAAAGTAAGCCAGTCAGAAAAGACCAATATCATGATTTCACTCATATGCAGAATTAAAAAAAAAACCCTAAAAACCTAAAAACAGACTCTTAACTATTAATAATGAATAGATGGCTATCAAAGGGGAGGTGGGGGGAATGGGTAAAATATGTGAAGGACATTAAGAGTACACTTACGATGAGCAGTTAGAATTGTTGATTAACTATATTGTACATGTAAAAGTAATATAACACTGGCATTTAATTAGATTGGAATTTTTTTTAAATTAAAATCAAGAAACACATATATAAACAAGAAAGCAAGCACATAAGCCAGCCAGCCAGCTAGCTAGCTTCTCAGGGGCTACAGCATCTAAGCTTGTGGGACAGGATGCTGGAAGCATTTGAAGAAATTGTCTGTAATCACAGGTTCAAAGGGAGGCAGAAATTAACTTCATATGTTAAGCAGGAAAAAAAGTATTTTGCCCTAATAGAAACTGACAGTAATCGCTGTAGTGTTTCCCCTTTATCAGTTCTCATTGTCCATTTCAGAAGAAATTCATTTGGCCGAGGCCAGGATAGAATGCTACATTATTCTTAATGCCTGGCTCATCCGTAAGTGGTGGTCACCTTCAATAAAGACAACATCATAAATAAAGAACTGTCAGTTCCATTAAGGACAATTGGGATTCAGGGGCAGTGTCCTGGTGGGCAGTCAGACAATATGGGGGAAGTAGTGTCTTTATCAGTTATTGGCATCCCAAGAGGAACCTGGGGTAGAATGGGGTTAGAGTGCTGTGATGGGCAAAAAATGGTTAAGCTGAGAAACAATTCTCACTGGTTAACTTATTTAAAATACTTCATTCTATATAATGACTGACTCTAGACTACTGAACTTTGCTTGTAACAACTATTTTTAAAACTTTGCATTTGGTACATTGCTCTTACACTCCTCTTTTTTTCTACCATTTCTTTTCTCTTCAGCACTGTCATGACATCTAAAAACTTGTGTTCAACTTTGTTAGAACCCAGTGTAAAGTATTAGTAAACAGACTTGGTGAGGACCTGAGAGGCAACTTGTAGATGACTTTAAGCTAACCATACTTTAGCAGCTCAGCAGGGTTTTTTTTTTGTTTTGTTTTGTTTTAGGATTTTTTTTTTTTTTTTTTGACAGATCACAAGTAGGCAGAGAGGCAGGCAGAGAGAGAGAGGAGGAGGAGGCAGGCTCCCTGCTGAGCAGAGAGCCTGAATGCGGACTCGATCCCAGGACCCTGGGATCATGACCTGAGCCGAAGGCAGAGGCTTTAACCACTGAGCCACCCAGGCGCCCCGGGTTTTTTGTTTTTACTTTTCCACCCAATTCTTAAAATCTCAGCTATTTGCTGAAAATTGAAGTTGCCCCAAAAGTACTGAGACTTTTGTAAATTAGTAGACTCTGTCGAGTTTTTTCTTTTCAAGAGTTCTAAAAACTAAGTTGTCTCTTGTGGTGTCTATATTAATCAAATTATTAAATTAAAATGATAAACTTAAAATGAGTTCTCTTTAAACTTTACAGAAAAAAGGACTTAAGGAAACTGAAGGAAAAGGCGTTTAAAAGGAACACTTCAATAAATTAATAAACTAGTAAAGCTTTTTTAAAATGAGCTCTTTAAAACAAAATTTTATAATTCTGGGATTATGCTAGAAGTATATAGTATATCAAATTTTAGACAAAATGATTAAAAGGGAAGATAAAGGTAAATTTTTCAGAGAATTTAATTCTCCAGGTAGTTATAATATATTTAACTCTATGATTTAATCCTTAGTTATAAATCCTATAGACAGCATACACAGAATACTGAATTTCTTAATTTAATAATTCTGTAGTACCATTTGTTTGGCTTTTTGTAGCTGTATTTTGAGGTCATTACATTCTTTCCTCATCAGTTCCAGCTCTTGTTCCAAACCATGGATCTTCAGGTCACAGCTCAACTTTTCCACCTCCCAGTTTGATGAAGGTGGATTTAAATTCCTTATCACTAAAAAGAGGATAGACAATAAAATTGTTATTTCTGCCTTCTACATTTGTTGTGATTCATAAAGGTTATACTAGTAAAACATAGATAATATAAAAACTAATATAAAACATGCACAACTAACAGTTTTTAAAAACAGTAATATTACTTTCAAAGACCTATGTTAATGAGAATAAGAAACCTACCAATCTTGTGTCAGAATGTATTAATCACCACTATCCCTGAATTTCTGTTTAGGTTAAAGTACAAGTTTGTCAGTCTGAAACTTTAAAATATACAACACTAATCAAATACATGCTAAAACTGTTGGCAAGTCAACAATATTTAAGTCAAGGTTAAGACAGTGATAAAAATTAAATGAAGTGAGGAAACTGAAGCTCATGTCTCTAATTACTCCATCTAGTCCCCTCAGAGTATAAAGTAAGACCATCAGGCCTAGAAAATGGCATCAAAACAATTTATTCATAAACATTTACTATAGAAACTCAGTACAACTGGATACTGACTTACCTTTGACATAGTTCTTTAGTCTATCTAGAGATAGAGAGGCTAAAAAGCCCCAACCAGCTACTGTAAGAGAGCTCATCTCAAATGCCTATCAAAAGGCCTCTCTCAGAGGCCTACCCTTCAGTCTGTCTCATCAGAATGTTCATGGGAACAGGCCAATAGCCATATGCTCCAGAACTACTTATTTACTCTAGCATCTCATCTGCACATTTTAACAACTTCAGAAATTTAAATTAAAAAAAAAAAAAAAAAAGTAATTGTAACTACTCCATGACAGTGTGCTTAATAGTGGGCAAAAGTTTAGTAGAAAGGAAAATCCAGGACATACCAGCAGGCAAGATCTCTGACAAGGATGGAGTTCTACTCCTTTCTTCATCTACTTCATCACAAACTAGCTCTAAACAAAAACCATCAAATATTCTCTAGGAAAAGTGCAACTTATATCTAAGGAAAAGTTAAAGGAGTTGATATTTTGGTGAAAGCAGATCAGAGAAATTAATATAAGCCTAAAATTATAAAATAAGGCCTTAGCATACAGATATAGAAAACTGATAATGGATATAACACATAAATGGAAAATTATACTGATTCCATTATAATATTTGTAACAAATAAGTGGCATACCCTGCTGAGTCTCCACCTCTGTCCTTAGCTGGAGCAGTTCTACTTCTTTAGATTGTAGCTGTTCATTCAACATTTTCAAAGATTCAGAGTTGTCTTTATTCTAGTTAAGTAGGGAAAATGCCAAATTATATTCAATAAAATCTATAGGTTGATATACATTAATTTTCAGGTAGATAAAAAAAAAACAGATTTAGGCCTTTAAAAAAGCAAGATGGGATGATGAACCCAGTTTTTCACTAATTTCCTTTTTTCTTTTTCAAACTTAGGAAATACTAGTCACTAGCTTTTTTTCTTAAAAACACATTGACAAATTCTACCATGTCATGATTTTCCAAAATAAGTTAGTGGTGTTAGATATACTTAATTCCTAAACATCATCACATACTATGTATTTATTCTGTACAGAAATAAGCTATAAATATCACCATTAAAAATTCCTATTTTGGGGGTGCCTGGTGGCTCAGTGGCTTAAAGCCTCTGCCTTCCACTCAGGTCATGAACCCCGGGGTCCTGGGATCAAGCCCCGCATCAGGCTCTCTGCTCTGCAGGGAGCCTGCTTCACCCTCCCTCTCTTTCTGCCTGACTCTCTGCCTACTTGTGATCTTTGTCTGTCAAATAAATAAATAAAATCTTAAAAAAAAAAATTCCTATTTTTGCCTTTAGGATGTATATTTTCAATTTTTTATTTACTAAATATTAAGTATCTTTCTTATTTCTAATTTTAAACTTCCTAAAGAAGAAAACTCATTTGCAATATATAGAAACTGTTTTCAAACCAACTTACCATTTTATCCAATTTGCTTTTCAAATTATCTCTATCAATGCAAACCTCTCGATATGCATGATAGGCCTTATTTACTTGTTCACGTCCCACAGAATTTGTTTCTTCATCTAATCGAGCTCCTATAAGCTAATGGTATAAAATTAGAAGGGAAAGCTCAAAGGTATTCCAGGAAACAAACATAAACAAAACAAAAAAAGCCACCAGTCTTCTGATGGCTCCACACTTTACTTTTCTTTGTAATGCAGGGATAAAGCCTGGACTATAATTAAACATTTTACTTCCAACAAGTAAGCCTTACTGATTAAGAAAGCAAAAAAAGTACAGGTAAACATTTTTAAAGTCTTCTATTTTATGCTTTTACTTAATCAGTATTTTTTGTTTTATAACATATTAACTCATCATTCTAAAACAGTATATTATTCTTTTATAATACTTAGATGTTTTTCAAGGCAGTAGTATTTCATTTCCACCATCAGAAAAAATGACAAGTTAAGGTATGCTTGACCTTTTTAAAGAATAAATGTGGTAGTTCATTAAATACTACATTATTCCAGAATAGAAATTATAGGATTGTTGGTCACAAAGTACACAAATATTTCCAATGTCAGCTATACCAAATCACATTTTTCTACTTAATTTTAAAATAAGCATAACTACAAGCTCCAAAATGTTACCTTTTCTCACTCTACCCAACCCAATCAAACACAAATTTGATTACCATTAAAGACAATGTATATGAATATAAAGAAATTATAATGATTTTTACAACTGACCTCCTTTCTCTTAATTCTCCTAGATGAATCAAACTCTACCAAGTCCCTTCCTAAAGTTTTTATAACAAGATAATTCATTTCCTTGGCAGCTAAGAATCCATTTCCTTCCCCATTGGGGAAGCTGCTGTTTATAAAATACAAATACAATGATCTAATCGAAGAAACATAAAACTAAGTTAAAACTTTAAACTTCAAAAAATATAAGGATGAGTGATAAAGATTTTCCCAGTACCCAAAGCCAAGTAGATATGATGATTTATAATGGAATCAGCTATCAACCTTATATATTCTATAAGATTTAAGAGTGTCAGGTTTCTGCATGAGAAAGGTAAACAGATGACCTTTATCAGTTAAAAGCATTATTCTGTGTGTTCAAGAACAAAAGAGACAGTTGAGCTAGAGAAGATATCAGTGCTGGTGAAGATGTTTTTAAACAGAACGATGTTACATTTCATTTCATTTCCTTTGCTGGCATATCATTTGTTGCACAGATTTTAAAATCCTGAATAAAATACATACAATTTATGAAGGTAAGGCAATCTGAAAAAAAGATTCCAAGAAAAATATATTCCAAAAATATATTCCAAATCCAAATCTACACATATTCCCCATGTACATGATATGTGAAGTACTGGGTTTTGAAACTAGCTGTGAGTTAACCTTGGAAACTTAGCACAACCAGTGAAGAGAGGATAGAAAAATATTTAAAACTTCAAGTATTTTGAATTATTCTTTAAGTCATAAAATATAATAGATAGTAATTACCTTTTCTTCCAAAAATCTTATTCTTTTCTTTAAGAATGAGTTCTCTTTCTCTGAATCCTTAAGTCGTTTTTTGATGTCTTCATATGCAGTGACAAGGGCAAAATGTGAAGCAACAGACTCATCTCCTGAATATATTGAGATTGGAGTCACTGTGTCTCTCCTATGTGCTTTTTCATGATTCAGAATGCAGATATCATCTTCTACCAGTGCATCCATGACAGCTTTTTAAAAGAATGTAAAAGAAAAATGTCTTATCCAAGCACTGCTTAGTGTGAGAATTTGTGCTTAATCTCTCTGCCTTGGTTTCCTTATTTATAAAGTATAAGAAATAGTAGCAACTACTTCACAGAGTTAAGGATATTAAATGAGCTGATATCCATATAGCATTTGAAACCAATCTAAGCTATTATTAATAAGTTTTAGAAAAAGTTGCAAAACACCATTTATACAGGATAAAAATTTTTAAATATTTTTTATCCACCTATTTCTTATCAGTATTTCCACTTTAAGATATAAGCAGCAAGTTTTATAACTTCCCAAACTATACATTTTTAAAAACTCTTCTGAATAAAATTCATTACAAGAGTATTATGGAAGTTTTAATGCATACTCCACTGTATTCTTTGCATACCAGTAACTGATTGATTGATGTCCATTTGCAATAGAAGACACAAAGGAATTATTTCAGTACTCACCATGTCCCAGCACCATGCAGTACATTTTTTTTATTATTATCTCATTCAAATTAATCCAAACAATTCTATGAGGTAGGTATTATCTATATTTTATAGGATCAAAAAGGTAAAGTAAATTGCCCGGGTTAAAGCTAGTAGATGTTAATTAGCTCCAGGAGGGTACAGGTTATGTCTGTTTTGCTCATCATTGTGTCCCCAACTTATCATTGTGTGTAAGATGCCCAATAAATACTGGTTATTAAATGAAGAGTCAATAGTATAGGATTCAAATCAAACTCTAACTCAAAAACCTAAGACAAGAAGCCAGTTACTTTCATAGTTAGTGAACTTACTTGCACTGTACATCTACTTTTATTGTTAGGTTCAGCATTACTTCCTCATCTGAAAGTTATGTTCCTGAAAAACACTGTGGAAGGAGAAATTGTAGCTGAAATCTTTTAAGACCTTATGGGAAAAACAGAGTAAGTGGGACTGCAGGTCATAAAAGATCCTAAAAAATCCTTTTAGATACCTTTTAGTTTGAAATAAAACATCAAATAGAGCAATCTAAATAAGACTATCAATGGAATTTCATATATCTTATATTAGTAATTCATGACTACTGAAAAACATTTTTATTTACTATTCCTTGCTTGGAATGACATTTGGTTGCTTAGCATGTCACTGTTCCAAGAATATTATAGGTAAGGAAATTAAGGTAGAAAGGAATTTAAGTAATTTTCCCAAGTAAAATAATAAATAAGGAGATGTAAACATAGGTGATTAAGGCACAAGAACTATGTTTTACTGTGCCTGCTTTTCCCCAAAACTTCTGACCTCCCTCCCTATATCAATCAATGCCTGTAAAGTTCATTTTGCTTTATTTCAGACAACATGAATACTAAGGAAAAGTGGAGGTTTTTTCTAGTTCTGGTTTTCTATCACTGTATTTTTGCTTTACTGATTTTTCATAATGGAAGGCTTATGGAAAGGTAGGCATATGATTTCTCATATCTTAATTATCCAACCAAATGTGCTGGATTTATTCAACTGAGATTTTTTTTCTGAAGACTCTTGAAAAACAAGAAATAAGCATAAACTGCTCTACAAAGTCAAAAGAGATGTCCCACTGATTGTGCACTTCAAGGATCAGAGCATGGATGCTTTTACTTTATACAAAGTTCTAACCAGCTCAGCTATTCATTTTTATTATGAAATAATCACTTACTCGGGAAGGGAAAAAAAAAAAAAAAAACCAGTGTGGAAGACAGCTGTGCAGTAAAATAATTATCATGCCATAAAGATAATATATTTGAAATAAGAGAAAGTGCTACGGGAATTGAGGGTTCAGGTGAAGGAGCAGTTTTGAAAGAAGGTATCACAAAATAATGAAAGGACTCTAAGTTCCACTCTCGTGGGTGAGGATGGTTATTTTCATTGTATGTATAACTTCTGACAAGGGAAACAAGTTCAAAGGCCTGAAAGAGTATGAGAAGAAAGTATGAAAAGGGAAATGGCAAGATGTGAAATTAAAAAAATACCTAACAGAAACAAACTGAAGTGTTCTTTTATGTAGAGAGACTACAGAAGTTGGTTCTTATTCTGTGGAATTCAAGACAGGCCCAAACATGATTCAAGAATGTGAAGAATACTTACACAACATTTGTAAAATATATCCATAACCAAATGAACTACTTAGTATTGTGCTAAATATTTTGTAAATATTATCTCTTTTCATTCTCATGATTACCCTGAGGTAAGAAATCTTACTGTAGTCATTTCACAGACGGAAAAACTGGGGCCTGGGAAGGTTACAGAGCTTAGCCAAGACCAGATGATTAGTATATAGCACAAGTACCTGGATTTCAGAGCCTGAACTATTAATATTTTTCCCTCCCCAATGAATCTTTCACATACTTATATTCATCAAGAACTACAAAACTAGGGGGCGCCTGGGTGGCTCTGTTAAGCATCTGACTCTTGATTTCAGCTCAGGTCCTAATCTCAGATTCCTGAGATTCCAACCCCGTCCCCTCCAGCTCAGCATGGACTCCTCTACTTCTCTCCCTCTCTCTCTGCTCCTTCCCTACTCATGTATGCACACATGCATGCATGCTCTCTCTAAAATAAATAAAATCTTAGGGGGGGAAAAAAAAAGGACCACAAAACTAGGAAACCCTTGGAAGGTTTTTAAGTACCTTAGATGGAAGGAGGTATACTGATGTAACAATGTCACATACACAGTATGATAACTGGTCTTTCTAGAACAAATGAGTAGTGAAACTGGCTTATTTTATATATTTAAATCTATTGCCTAAAGTAAAATGATTTATTTTTAAATCACCAAAAAGTAGCATATGGTGTCCTCTCCCCAAATATGAGAAAATTTATTTGGATATAAGAGCTTCTTCCAAGTTTTATACTACAATTCTATATATTTAGTTATTATACTTGGAAAGATAAACATGACTTGGAAAGCAGCATAAAAACTTTTATCCGTCCTAAAAATTGTATAAGAAATAGTCAAATTGTATGAGAAATACCCATACATTAAAACACACTCAAGAGGTGCCTGGCTGGCTCACTTGGTAGAGCATGTGATTCTTGATCTTGGGGTTGTAGGTTCAAGCACCATGCTGGGTGTAGATTACTTGAAAATAAAATCTTAAAAAAAAACCAAAAAAAATAAAACCCCAAGATAAAATCTAGCATCACAGATATGCATGCAGTTTTAATGTTTTAAAATCAGTATTTTAAATTTGCTGTAAAATGAAAAAGGAAACTTTGATTATCTTTGCAAAAATAAATATGAAATCACAAAAGTATCAGAAATATTAATGCCTACATTACTCTGTACCAACTGGACTTAAAGAGATTAAAAGCTGCAGGGCTAAAGAAAATGCTATCTTAGAAAGGTTCTGAAAAATACAAGGCAGCTATCCCATTATATAAATTATTATACTGAAAGGAAAATTGCTAGCAAATTAACAAAGTAGGCTAGGCCTTTATTGCTTATGTATCTCCCTCACAGTAAAGTATGATTCAGTTTTATATACTTCTGTTGTGATGAAATGTCTCTTCATGAGTATCCAAAGTTACTGGCCCAAGAAATTTGATTTTCTAGACAAATCATGAAAGCTTAACTGGCTATACTATCCTTAATAAACTAGACAAGACCATTTTTAACATCTAAAATTTGGGAAAACTTATCCTATACTGATCTAATGTTATTTACTGTAACTTAAACTATCTTAAAATAACAAGCATGTGCTTAACTTTAATCTTTAGAAAGTGTATAAGCAGGGACACCTGGGTGACTCAGTCAGTTAAGCATCTGCCTTCTGCTCAAGTCACAATCCAGGGGTCCTAGAAATGAGTCCTGCATCAGGCTGCCTGGTCAGCAGGGAGTATGCTACTCCCTCTCCCTCTGCCCCTTCCCCCTGCTCATGCTCACTTGCTCTCTATCAAATAAATAAAATTGAAATTAAAAAAATTTTAAAGTGTCATAAGCAGATTATTATCAAAATTAGAATCATCAAAAGACTAGACAATATTTTAAAGGTAAATCTAGCAGGAATTGAGAGCATTAACTTTTAAAACTCAGTAAGTATCAAAAATATTACCCAACGATTAAGCAGACCTCTCTTGATCATAACAAACAGTAATAAATACATTCTATAGTAATATACCACACACACAAAATGTCTTTTTCAAGAACATTCTAAGATACTGGAGATGACCTAGAGCAGTGTTTGACAAAGTGAGATGTGGACCACTGCCCCAGAATCAGTTGGGAGTTCTCTTCAAAATACTGATCGCTGGTTCTGGCCCAAGATGGTGACACAGAAGATTCTGACCTCAAGTCCTCTAGGAACAAACCAAATCTGAATCTATTTATACAGCAACCACTCCTGAAGAACTGAGGCCTGACTGAATGACAACAACCACACACAGAGAATGGCAAGAGAAACAGAGACATGGTACAAAGGGAAGCTCCACCCTGGCCACCGCAAACCACAGTGGGGTGAGATATTATGGGAGACTGTGAGCAGATTCCTCTGCCCTCTGGCACAGAGAGAGACAGAGAGAGAGAGAGAGAGAGAGAGAGCGAGAAGCAAGCTATGCCTTTTTAAGGGCTACAGAAAATAAAAGAACCAGCCAAAGCTGCTAGAACTCCCTCTGGGTCAGGAGACTGGTGAGTGCTACAGTTGACATTCCCCTTCCACCTTGATAATGTAAACAGAAGCAGAGTCCAGGTGCCCTAGCTGGCTTACCACCTCAATGAGTTTCAGGCCCCTAATCCACACTGGGATACCCCTGGTGAGTGCTCACTATAGCTCAAGCCTCCTTTCAAAGGTGGCATAGGCACAAAATTCAATATCCATTCATGATAAAACCCTCAATAAAGTAGGTAAAGAAAGTACATGCCACAACATTATACAAGCCACACAGGAAAAACTCACAGCTAACATCATACTCAAGAGGAAAAAATGGACAGCTTTTCCCCTAAGGTCCCAAACAAGACAAGGATGTCCACTCTCACCACTTTTATTCAACACAATACTGGAAATGGCAGCCACAGCAATCAGACACGGAAAAAAAAAAGGCATTCAAATTGGTAAGGAAGAAGCAAAACTATCATACGTGCAGACGATAGGATACTATATGTAGAAAACCTGAAAAGACTCCACCCAAAATCTACTAAAACTGAGAAATGAATTCAGTAAGGTTGCAGGACTCAAACTCAATTTGCATTTCTATACACTAATAATGAAGTAGCAGGAAGAAATTAGGGAAACAATCCCATTTACACCTACATCAAAAATAATAAAATACCTAGGAATAAACTTAACCAAGTAACTGAAATACCTGTACTCTGAAAACTATAAAACACTGATGGAAAAAACTGAAGATGACATAGACAAATGGAAAGATAGTCCATGCTCATGGATTGGTAGAACAAACTGTTAAAATGTTCATGCTACCCAAAGCCATCTACAGATTTAATGCAATCCTATCAAAATACCAAGAGTATTTTTCACAGAACTAAACAAATTATACTAAAATTTGTGTGGAACCACAAAAGACCCTCAATACCCAAAGCAGTTTTGAGAAAGAACAACAAAGCTGGAGATACCACAATCCCAGATTTCAAGACATACCACAAAGCTGCAGTAACCAAAACAGCATGGTACTGGCCCAAAACAGACACAGAATAGAGCACAGTGAAATAAACCCGTGCCTATATGGTCAATTAATCTATGACGAAGGAGGCAAGAATATGCAATGGGGAAAAGACAATCTCTTCAACAAATGGTACTGGGAAAACTGGACAGGTATATGCAAAAGAATGAAACTGCACCACTTTCTTACACCATACACAAAAAGTAAACTCAAAATGGATTAAAGACCTAAATGTAAGACTTGCAACCGTAAGACTAGAAGACAACATAGGCAGTAATCTCTTTGTCATTGGCCTTAGCAACATTTTTCTAGATATGTCTCCTCAGGAAAGGGAAACAAAAGCAGAAATAAACTTTTGGGGCTACACCAAAATAAAAAGCTTGCATGGCAAAGGAAGCCATCAACAAAATAGAAGGAAGGCAACCTACTGAACAGAAGTAGAGATTTGCAAATGACATATTCAATAAGGAATTAATATTAAAAATATATAAAGAATTTATATAATTCAACACCAACAAAATCCAAACAATATGCTTAAAAAATGGGCAGAGGACCTGAATAGACATCTGTGCAAATAAGACATAATGATGGCCAACAGACACATTAAAAGATGCTCAACATTACTAATGATCAGGCAAATGCAAATCAAAACCACAATGATATAACATCACCTTACAACGGTCAGAAGAGTTACTATCAAGACAAAAAATAACAAGTGTTGGCAAGGGTGTAAAGAAAAAGGGACCCTAGTGCACTGCTGGTGGGAATGCAAACTGGTGTGGCCACTTTGAAAATGGTATGCAGGTTCCTCAAAAAATTAAAAATAGGGGTGCCTGTGTGGCTCAGTGGGTTAAAGTTTGGAAACTTTAAAATCTTTTTTTTTTTTTTTTAAAGCTTTTATTTGTTTATTTGACAGAGAGATCACAAGCAGGCAGAGAGGCAGGCAGAGAGAGAGGGAAAGGGAAGCAGGCTCCCCGCTGAGCTGAGAGCCCG